GTCTCCCGGGTTCCCCTCGCCTTCCTCCCTCCCTTTCTTCCTCGCTGCCTCTCTCCTTCTCAAACCCCGAGCCTCCCTCCCGCGCCCTCCCCGTCCAGCTCATTATTATGTAAATTGTCTTAATCTTTTAAAGTGGAGTCTTCCCCCCCTTCTCCCCCAACCCGGGCTCCATCTGCATCACAAAAGTNCCCCTTCTCCCCCAGCCCGGGCTTCATCTGCATCACAAAAGTAGAGAAACTCGCCTGGCTGCAGCGTCCTAAACTCGACCCTGGGAGCCGGATGGGGGAGACTGGACAATTACTGGGTTAGAGGGGACCCTTAGCAAGTCTGGGAGCAGCCCCACCCNGTTAGAGGGGCCCCGTAGCAAGTCTGGGAGCAGCCCCACCCTGCCTCAGCAGGTTTACACACCCACGGGTGTATATATAAAATATATTGTAAGCTAACGAGACGAGCGAAGAACGAATGCCTTGAACTTGTGTGAGGTTTTATTCAGTTGAAAATCCTCGTGTTTTCCTTTTGTTCAACTTTTGTGCATATGCCTATTTCTCTCACTAAATTATAAAGCCCTGGAAGGAGAAACCATAGAGCTTGTTCATCTAGTACAAAGCCTGACACAAGAAGTAGGGGACTGCACTGAGTTCCCACATCTACCCTGAGCTCTTCGGCCCTGGGTAAATTATTTACCTTCCTCAACCCTCAGTGTTTTTGTCTGTAAAATGGGCATAATCCTAACACTCTCCTCATTCATGGGCTGTGAAATTAAATGAGACAATGTAAATGAAGTGCTTAGGGTAGTGCCTGACACATAGGAAGTTCTCAGCATGTTAGCTCTGGTTCTTTCACTTATTTGTTTAAAATTATTACTACTAATAAAAATTGGTGAATTATCCTCACAGCAATCTAGTGAGGCAGGGGTAAGGTTTTCTGTGCATTTTTCAGGTTAGAGATGGAGGCGCAAGGCGCTTAACTGGCTGCCCAGGGTCACTCACCTGCCCAGGACTAAAGAGCCACAGGGGTGGAATCACTGCCCAGTGCTCTTCTGTTCCTCCAAGGGGCTTGGTTAGAATTGTCCCCCCCAAGATAGTAGCAGCCCTTTGGGGAGGCTGAATCATATTTCACAGTTAGCTTCCAGAATGTCATTGGATCTCCTCTGGTAAAAGAAATCTTGACATTTAAGTCACACATTGGAGCTCAGAACACTATCTTTTTCTGGATCTTGAAAATATTGTGGTGCCATCTCCGTGGCGCAGTGCTCTTCACCCTGCGGCTTGCACTAATTCTGAAACAGACGAAAACAAGGATGCTCTCTGGCCTGCGTCCGCCTGAGTTCCCTGGGGCCTGGAGAACCTCAGTGGTGTCAGGTCTGACAAGGG